TTCGATAAAACTTTTTTCGACAAAATCTGCTAAAATATTGAAATACTTGACGTAGCAGATAAAATGAAAATGACTAAATAATCGATCAATAATAAAATATCTCATTATGGTGAAAATAGAAAACTATAGCTGAGTTATACTATAGCTGCCAAAAAAAAAGGAGATTCTTGATAACAATATTTTAAAGTCGGTAACACGTGAGTCGTTCATGTTCGGCTCGAATGGTAAACGAGCCGGGCTTGAACAAAAAATTAGGCTCGTTCATATAGGCTCGATTAAAGCTCAAATATATATATATATATATATATATATATATATATATATATATATATATATATATATATATATATATATATACATATATATATATATATATATATATATATATATATATATATATATATATATATATATATATATATATATATATATGTATATATATATATATATATATATATATATATATATATATATATATATATATATATATATATATATCTTTAAAATATGTAGCTACGCCAATAGCCGTTAATTACTAAGGAAAAAAATTTTTATGGTGTGACAATATGCTAATTATAGACTTGATTTATTACTAAGCGATACTGTTAAGAAGATTTTAAGAATTAATAGATTAATACTATTTCTTGATAAAGTCTAACGTTGCGTACCATGTTTTACATTCATGTGCCAAATTATTTGATGTTAAATTTCTAAAAAATGGTTGAATTTTAAATACACAATAATTGTCATCTATTTTATGTTCAGTTTATGCGGTATGGAAAAATCATTAGGCAATTGTGAAGAAGCGGTTGCTGATCCTACAAGGAAATAAAATCGTAAACCAACTTATCAACGTTTATAAAAGAAAATTACATCTACAGAATTTTTATTGATTTGTGATTGATGCTCTTTAAGAATTATTGGACTTGATTTTGGACCTTCAAAAGCATAACGTGGATTTGTTCAAGACAAATAAAAGAATTTGTACAATTTTTCGAAAAAAAACAAAAACAAAATTTTGATCGTTATTACAAATGTGCTTCGACTGTTGCACAGAACCTCCGTTTAATAGAGTTTTGCTTTAAAATAAAAAAATGAAAAAATAATTCTGCGATTGATCTAAATGTCTTTTTTATACAGTTAAAAGAGCCCATTGAGAAAAGGTTGCTCCCTGACAAAGACCCAATAAGCACTCGACGTCCGAGGACGTGTTGTGTTTCATGGACGTCCGTAAGACGTCCAACGTTTCCCAGACGACATATGGCCACTGGAGACGTTGAGTTAGCTCAATAAACTTGCACCTTACACTAAAATTATTGGCCAGAAAACATTAACACTTAGCTAACAAAAATTGAAATAAGAAATTTTTTGACAAAACTACAATTAAATGAAAGAGAAATGATTCATAGATTCGGTCAATACATCATAGAACAAGTTCTGGAAAATTACTTTATTTTGTACACGCTTTCTATATATATCGCAGCGTTAGAATTATCTTGTTCTATCTCCAAATTTTTGTTTTTTGTGATAAAACGATTTAAAAAAAAAATTTAAGGAGACGGCATATAAAAACATTATAATAACTTATGTTTTCTCCACAATTTTTTTACTTAAAACATAAATTTCAATTCAGTAGAAAAACAATTGGAAACAACAAACAAGTGGAAATGGCAGTTACGGATTGAGGTTTAGCGTCGTGAGAGGGGAGCAGGGAAATAAGTAGGGGGCGACAAGGGTTGGGAGTGGGGTATTAACCCCTAGAAACATTTTTTTTTGAAAAGCACACTTGTGATAAATATATTTTATTGATGCTTTTATGTGTCTTTTATCATCACTATCAAGTGCGTCTAAGACACTAAACAATCTAAAGTTTATGTTTGCTAAGCTTTCTTTGGTTAACAATTATAGTTAAAAAAAAAAAGAAACATTTATTATTATTGCAATGGTTTGGTTTTTTAAGAATACAGTTACTCTATACATAAATCTGAAAGCAAGCATTAAGAATGAAATTTACTTTCCTTCTAGTTTATTATTATTTTTTTTAATTTTTATTTAGGTGCCCCAAAAAGTACTTACGGTCTTATCACAGAGTACCGCGGGTGAGCATTTAATTGGAAATTCACGCCTCCTTCCTAACCGATGTCGCAAAACTTGCCCAGAATTGGGGTTTGAACTACATATCCTTTTTTTCTGAGGCAAGTGCGCTACCACTGCGCCACAGCTACCAGAAAATTTTTCTGTGAAATTTTATTTCCAGCGGGTGCAGAATGTTCGTTGCAAGTCTTAAGAACATCATACGGACTTTGTGACGTATATATGAAGATGTATAGATGCCTTAAGGACATCTGTGCCCGCTGGGTTGAAGTAAAATGACTTAATTGATAATTTAAAGTCAATGCTTTCAGCAACCTCACATTCAAATAAAGTTATTTGAATGTAAGCTTGCTGAGAGCATCGCTCGGTGTCTCCTTACACAGTATATTCCCAATAAACCGGACAAGTTTGGAATCAAACTCTGGATTTTAGCTGATCTAAAGACCAAATATTGTCTCAATATTAAGCCGTATCTAGATAAAAATTAAAACCGTGTAGAAAATTTGGGTACTTTTTTTTTATCATTTCATTAATAGAACCTTGTCACTACAGATAACTTTTTTACAAGTGTCGATAATGTGAGGGTGGGGGGGGGGGGTGCGGGGTCGCGAGGGACAACTTGTTGCGAGCGGCAGATATCCAAGAGCCGCCAAATAAAAAGAAGGTATCTGAATAAAAAAAAAGTTCCTTCATATATAATATAGGGAAATTTGTATAAATAAGGGCGCCAATCAGGATTGCTGTCCAAGGCGGCGTGACGGCTCTCGGCGACCCTGATCGTGCAAATTGTATGAAACCTGTTTGTGGAAAGTGCTTGTCAAAAATATGCAAACATTGCAAATAAACTTAACTATTTGACTAAAATTGTTATGTATATGCACATTCTCTATAAGGTGGATTGATTGATCCACCTCAGGGTTTTTAGGTATAAATATTTATAGCTGCATCTCTGAATGTGTTTTTATGTAGTTTTTCCACTTTTTAGTAAACAATAACAAAATAATAAAAGCCATAAAATATCATATTATCAACATTAAAATTTTAGCTTCAGCAAAGTGTCAAAGTCGTGTTTGGATCAATTGATCCACCTTGGGACTTCTAGTGTTAACGCAAAACTTTGTAAGAAGAAATTTTATGGGGCGCCAGTTAATTAGCCCAATGGAAGGAGGTGCAGCTTGCTCCCCTCCCCCTCTCATATATTATGTATATATATATATATATATATATATATATATATATATATATATATATATATATATATATATATATATATATATATATATATATATATATATATATATATATATTTATATATATATATATATATATATATATATATATATATATATATATATATATATATATATATATATATATATATATATATATATATATATATATATATATATATATATATATATATATATATAAGGCCGGCGGGATAGGGGTGTGTGGGTGGGTGTGATACCCCGGCAAATTTGACCATTTTTGACAAGTTAGTCGGCAAATGTAGACCCTGTTAATAGATTAGTCGGTAAATTTAGATAGGGCGTTGGCCCTATATATAAATATATATATATATATATATATATATATATATATATATATATATATCATATATATATATATATATATATATATATATATATATATATATATATATATTAATATAAAGAGTAGAGTTATCTTGTTTGCGGATTAAGTCGTTGATATATACCGTTAAAAAATTATGTGCGAATCAGTTACGCTTATGCCGCATTAAAAATACTGACGGAGCAGCCATTCGGTATAAGCGCAAAATTGCAAACATTATAAAGAAGTTAATGTAAGCGCAAATAAGAAAACAAACAAAGAATAAAAGGCTTATTTGCGTCATTTTTAAAAACACTAACGTAATTGAGAAGCAGCGTCAAGCAAAATCTCAGTTTGGTGTACGCATATACAAATGTGCGCCGACTTTTGCATTTACGCATGAGTTTATAAAACTATTTAGCGTTGTTTTCGGCATAAACAGATTTTTAAAAAAACTCGTGGTGATTGAAGTTTTTTTTGCTGATTGTTATTTACCTTTAAAATATAAATGTTTAGAAAATCTTTTACATATTTAGAATTTAGAAGTCCCTAAATTGATAATGTGTTCAAAGAATTAAAGACTCTCGGTCAAAAGTTGGAGCAGCGGAAATTTAGAATGATCGATTAAATTCACATTATACTCTGACTACCAGTGGCTCAGTGTTCAATTTTATCAGATTTTTTTGTTGTTTTGGGCTGTCTTATTTTCCCCCACTCTCCCTTATAATAAAGAAACAATCTTTAAAAAAAAATTAAAATTAAAAAATTTAATCAAAAAAACTGACAGGTCTCAAAAAATAAACGAGCTTTTACATGGTTGCAATTTAAAAAAATATCATTTTTTAAATACTTGTCACTTGAATTATAATACTAAAATAAGTCGTATAATTCAATAATATATAACTAAATCAAAAATATATAAATTAAATTTATATATTATTGATTATAATATTATAATCAATAATATATAAATTTATATATTATTGATTATAATATATTGATTATATAACTAAATCATAATAAATTAAATTAATATTTAACTAAATCAATAAAATAAGTCAAGTTGAGACAAATAAATAGTAAGAACTAGAAGTTGGCGTTTAGAAATAATTTGATTAAAGGAACTAAAATAATTTGATTGAAGGAACATAAGTTTAACGAATTATTTCTGATACGTTTCTGTAAGCTAAATGTTAAGTATTGTACAAGCTCAGTGCGTTTTTTTTTTTTTTTTTTTTTTTTGCCCTGAGACATTTATCAACATTGTTTTAAAATATTTATCTGTACATAAATATATAAACAAGAATATATTTGAAATAGGAAAAAGGTATTACCAGTAAAATCTCCTGCGTCAATCCACCCTGTTTTTCCGTCAAAATCTAGTGACTGGTCTTTACCTTGAACAACACCACCATGGACTGCTAAGAGAGGTGTTACTGGAACGGTATTGTTATAAATGTAAGCTAGCGGCCATAAATAAGCCGGCAGCACGGTTGCTCTAATTATTTGCAGCAGCAATGCTGCAATATAAAAATATATAAAGTTCATACTATAAAAAAATCAAATCGTAAGTTCTCATTCAAAAGTTATATGTTTCACTTTTATTATAAATGCATCTTTGTTTGCTGCAAATGTTCAAATTATAACTGAAAATATTATTTTTTAATTATTAAATACCAATAACCAACCAATAACCAAAAATTCTAAGTGCAAAGTAATTTATCAGTTCAGCTAAATTGAGGTAAATTTCGCAGCGGATTGCAAATGCGCTTCATAACCTTGTTTTTTTATGGAAGGCCATCCATTCGTAAGTTATTGTGCATAGAACTGTGTGTTTAAAACTATTGGTTGCACACAAGTGAAGTGACCTGGTTGTTATTATCGCACAACTGGGTTAAGAGTTTTTTAAGATGGTTGGTATCATCTAAAAATAATTTTTACCTTAATTAAATATGATTTCTCGGTACTCGTTGGCTTTGAGAGGAGTGTTATTATTTTTAAATAATAAAACTTTTTTTTATGCATATCAAAATTAACAAAAATAACACGTTTTTTTCTCATTATATTTTTTATATTTAATATTAATTTCGTATTTAAATTGATTTCTTTTTTAAATGTAAAAATTTACTATTTAAAATTACTTTTAAAATAGTGATCATTTTTAAATACATATTGAACGATATTTTACTGTTAAATGTAAATGAATAAACAAGTAAGTATATACCTAAATAAATAATAGTTATGGAAATAAATACTTCATTTAAATTAACAGTAAAACATTGTTAACCCATATTATGTGTATCACCCGTAATAATAAATTAATGTATTACAAAAGTATGGATGAGTTCGAAATGTAAACCCTGTGCAAATTTCAGTTTCTCTAAAACATTTTATTTTTTAAATATTTCAATTTAACACTGGCATAAAAGCAAAAATATTATTATTTAATTTTTTTATTTTTATTTTAAGAAAAGACTTGATGATAAGCGCTGGCGTTAATCGCATTTTAACCTGGCGTAAATCGCATTTGCGGTTTACAGTAAAGCTATAAACCAACTTTTGTTTGTCCAATAACAATTTTAGGATCGAAATGCGGGCAAACAGCTCAAAAATGTATAATAACAGCAATACAAGGGCAGGATTGAAAAGTCTGTTTTTCAAAACTAAATATGAAAGTAAAGAAAAACTAAAAACGTTAAGATGGGCCGTAATATCTTACATGCTACGTATAAATACCTATCTTTTTTTCCGTGGCACAAATTTTAAATGGCTATAACTAAATATTTGTAATTCTACTAACTCTAGCCTTTACTCAAAATTAAATAAGTATTTATAGGTAGTATTTAGGTACCCCTTCCAAACTTTTTTAGTTTTTATTGAATTTTCAGTTTAGTTTACAATAATCATAACTAGACTTTTCAATCCTTTCCACAAGTTCCTCAGTTTTTAATACAAAATCTCAATAAACTTTTCACAAGTTCCTCAGTTTTTAATACAAACTCTCAATAAACTTTCCACAAGTTCCTCAGTTTTTAATACAAACTCTCAATAAACTTTCCACAAGTTCCTCAGTTTTTAATACAAACTCTCAATAAACTTTCCACAAGTTCCTCAGTTTTTAATACAAACTCTCAATAAACTTTCCACAAGTTCCTCAGTTTTTAATACAAAATCTCAATAAACTTTCCACAAGTTCCTCAGTTTTTAATACAAACTCTCAATAAACTTTCCACAAGTTCCTCAGTTTTTAATACAAACTCTCAAAAAACTTTCCACAAGTTCCTCAGTTTTTAATACAAACTCTAATAAACTTTCCACAAGTTCCTCAGTTTTTAATACAAACTCTCAATAAACTTTCCACAAGTTCCTCAGATTTTAATACAAAATCTCAATAAATTTTTAAATTATTATTTAGTGTTTGTAAACTTTCAAGAGCTGATTACAGTGAAAGTTTTCATTTTGTTTAAATTTAACATTTTAAATATATAGTTTTCTTTTAAAATAATAATAAATAAGTGAACTTTAATAAATAAATAAATTTAATGAATCTTAATATGATCTGAGAGTGGGTATATTTTCCAAAAATTGATAAACTGTCCCTCCTTTGTATTAAGCACTCAGAAAATATTAACCAGTTTTCTAGACATTGACTGTTAAAATTATTATTTTTTTAAATAAAATTTAAAAATATATATTTAGTTAATATGTGAATAAATTTCGTTTTAAAGTTAGTACATGTTTACGAAATTGTTGATGAATAAGTTTTAACCCATAATTTTTACGAAAGTTTAAATTTTAACTCTGAAATATTTGTTTAAAATGATTTTTAATCTTTTTAAATTTACTTTTGTATTTTTACTTATATAATAGGGTGTGTCATTAAAAAAAAAATGGATTTAAAAAAAGTTATATTTAAAAAATATTAGGATTTTATATATGAATAAGAAAAATAACTTTAAGTTTTGTTGAATTTTAGCGCTAGCTACATTTTTTTTAATTTTTTAATGTTACTCTTTATGACTATTCTACAAACTACTTGGTGAGCAGACACAGAAAAATGTTTAGCTGTTTTAAATAACTTTTTTCTGCCTAGAGTCAAACAGTTTTATTTTTAACTTCTTTAAGTATTCTATATGTAGCGAAAGTCAAAAAAAATTTTGAAAAATTCTGCTTATATGTGTTAAATATGTAAGAATATCATTATAAAAACCCTTACATTTTGTACAAAATACATATTATTTTTTATTATTATTTATATAGTAATTTTTACAAAGTACGTTGTAGGGCTATTTACACTTGAGGCGGTTTGGTACCCTATTGTTAGATAGCCCTATAATTTTTTTAATTTTTATAACACGAGCTTTCTCATGAAATAAATTCATTTTAGGCACATATTTTTGTCTATAAAAATAAAAATTATTATGACAACTAATATTATTTAAAAAAAACACTACTATTTTATTAAAATATTAAGTAATCTATTGAATATTAAATTAAATATAATAATATAAAACATATAGATTGAATATTAAATAATAAATATTAAATATAATATAAAACATATAGGTTGAATATTAAAACAACAACAGAATGTTAAACTTTTTTAATTAAAAAATCACTATATTATTTAAGTATAGCTTAGAAGTTCCATTATGTCTTTCTTGCTCCTTTTAGCAGAGACCAACTCTTTGTTAATGAATTGGGCTCTTATGTAAGCTTCTCTTCTTTCTGATGCGTGGACATGTCCTGCAGCTTCTGTGACAAGCTGTACACACTTCTTAACTGATTGTGTATGTGAACTCCAATGGGGAACAACCATTGGGTTATTAACTAAATATTTTATATCGGAAGATGTAAAATTGCATGTCAAACGTGGTTCTGTTATGTTATTGCTCCAATCTATCAAACTAAAAAGATCTTTAGCATCAATGTTAATATCCGGTGTTCTTCAATGTCTATGACTATAAACACAAGTATTAGTTTGCTCTTGATTTTTTTCACGAAGCTTAAGAATAATTTCCAGAGCTTGAACTCTTTCTACTTTACTCTCACTGTATATGATAGCTTGTAAAGCAGCTTCTGAATGTGCATACCAAGCTGACCTTTTAATTTTGGGCATTACAATATCAAGAACTGGTTTCCTCAACCCAACATGATTCAACTTTTATGTTGAACCAGTTTGGAGTATAAACACTTACAATAAATTCGACAATCCATGTAAGATTTTGAAGGTTGGTGCCATATAGGCCATGCTGAGACACCCATATCCTTCAAAATCTTGATGCTGTTGTGAGCTACCTACTATGGCAAACAGGTCCTATCTCTAGCATTGCTAACTGCTGAGGTAAATCACCAGACCTTCTTGCTTTTGTTATTCTGTAAGCATAGCTCTGATCAGAACTTAAACCTTTTATTACTTCAGGACTTAGAACAATTAATGCAGGCCCAACATCAATTTTTGTAAACCTGGGATTAATTTCAAGACTTGTTGCTGTATTTAACATTTTTACCAGTAGTCCTGACCACTTATTTCCACATTTTGTTGGGCCGTCTAAGCTTATAATTAAATGTCTTAACCCTAACTTATTTGTGTGAAGATCGCACACAATCCACACTAATCTCTTTCTCAATTTTCTTTCCAACCATTGCATCACACCACCTTCCCAAACAGTACTTACATTTGTACTGTCTCCTCCTATAGCTTTAAGTTGTTTTCCTAAATTTCTTTCCACCAGTCAGTTAACCAAGTGGTCTGCAATTACCTCAGCATGTTTTCTGTGATCAGTTTTATTAGGAACAAAATGAAATAGAAATTTACCACTTGGTTCAGTAACGACAAAATAAAGTTTTTCCTTAAGAAGACCAGGGAAATACCTACCATCAAATTCCGTTTATACTTTTGTATTATCTTTTATGCCATCAAAAAAATACAGAAACCACATTATTTTCAAGATCTTTATTAAATTTACTATCTAATTCGATTGCTATTTTCTCTTGCACCCTTTTAACCTTGCTGTGATTAATAATCATCGATGTATCATTCTTTGTTATAATTTTTGCATCTATAAGTGCTACTGTTTCTATTTCTGCGGTTTCTCGTAAGCTAGTGTGATATGTTTGTTATGCCCATTCAGTTATAAACCTTTACAATATTATTGGAAGGTTCTGGTTCTCCAAAAATACTTGGTTCTGAGTCAACTTTGTTTGTTTTTTCAATCTAAAAAATTTAATACAAGACTTAAACTTTGTGTTATTATTATTAAGTTAATGATTTATGAAAAATCTAAAAAGTAAAAAAAAAATTTTGAGATATTTTTATAAATCACCTTAGCAAGATTTAATTTTTTTAAAAATAGTTATAATAGAACTATTTACTAACAAACATATTTTATTATTACTTGATTAATCTGTGCAAGGCCATTCTAATCTTCTGGAATCATTTGGTTGAGTTTTTCTTCTTTTTTAAATTTTTAAACTGTTTCCCACAGATACTTCAGTTTAGCTTTAATACTACATTCTTTTATTACTACTGGATGTAAAAACTTGCAATTAGCTTTTTTCCATTAAGAAGATAAAGCAAGAGTCATATCATTAACTAGTTTATCGACAGTATAGTTTCTTTTATTAAGGTCACGGGTCTCTCTTAAAAACAATCCATATCTTAAAATGTCCCTTGCAGTAGAGAGCTCAGATGGTAAAAGAGATTTTCCTTTTCTAACATATCTACTTAAGTGAGTAGCTGATAAACTACTCACTTTTTTAGTGCCATTTTTTTTATAATGGTGATTTTTAGTGCCATTATTTTTATAATGGCACTAAAAAAAAAAATTTATTCTTCTAATAGGCCCGAAATAAATTTCTTTCACTTAAAGTTAAATTTTTAGAAACAAAATATGTTTTAAACAAAATACATCATTGTTTTTACGATTTTCAAAATATTAGCAAATTAAATACATAAAAACCCAAAAAAATGTAGCTACCGCTTAATTTAACTAATTTTTAAAAGTATTACTCCATTTCATTTATGAAATTCTACCATAATTTCACTATAAAATTTCTTTTTTAAAAAAATTTGGTTTTTAGTCATCAAATTGACATACCCTATTATATAAGGTTTACGTAATAGAATTATTATATGCACATAGAAAAAAAAGTGAACAAATTGTAATTTGCAAAAAAAAAAAAGAAGAAAAAAAAAAGTAAATAAACAACTAAATTTGTAAAAACAAAATTTCAATTAAACAAAGATATTCAAACATGCAAACATTGTTAAAAGTTTAACAATTATGAAGCAACAAAAACTAGTTGAGATATTGGTGCAAATAAGTAAGGGGTTCATCAAATAACCTAAACTTTTGATTGAATTGTTTGTTTTTATTTGAATCTTTTTAATAAACAATTCAGTTTTGAAAAATTCAATTAGAATTTTTTCATTAAATTGTTTAAAATGAACTCTTATAATAATATTAAATATTACACTAACTATTAAGCGGCCGTGGCGCAGTGATTACAGCGCTTGCTTTATGTGCAGGAGATCCAGGTTCGAAACGAGCTCTGGACATAATTTCACGTCACGGTAATGAAGGAGGCGTGAACATCCTGTGATAAGACGGTTAGGTCTTCTTGAAGCGCCTAAATAACAAAAAAAAAATTACACTTTAAACTTAAAAAGTTTGTTTCAACCCTCATACTCCTTGGCCTGAAAAATTTAAGTTGATATAGCATGAGATTGAAAAACGGAAACCACATTCGAAATAAAATACCAAAACATTAAAATAATAATAATATTTTAATCAAGTAATAATAGTTGTTTTTAAAAAACATAGAAAAAAGTCATTCAAATTATAATTTATCAAAATGTCATCAAAGCAATTTTAAAATAGGAAAAAAATCTTGCCCATTCATGAAGAAAATCCATCATGGAACTACAAACGAGTCTCAAAAGCTATTAGAATTCTTATATCTACTGTTGGTTATAAAACGACTTAAGAAGACTTTATCCATTGAACGAGCTAAAGTATCACAAAGAAAAATTTTTTTTAACAATAAATCAATCGTTAATAAGATTTGCTGTTCTTTTAAAAAAAAAATCAAGGTTTGTTTGACAAAGAAAGAATTGTTTATTTATAAAAAACGTTTTAGTAAAGTAAGTGAAGAAATATTACAATTAGATGTCTTTCCGAGCAATTAAATACCCATATTGTTCTGACAAAAAAAATTCCACTGTCAAAATACGAGAACGAAAACTTTACACCCAGGTTTTGACTAAATTGAATGACTGCATTTTGATGCACTTGCATAAAGTATGAGTTTAATCAACTTCCTGGTGAAAAATATTATACTTTAAATGCTCGTGGTAGTGTAAGCAACAAGTATAAAAACAAACCTGTGGACAATTATGGCAAAAAAAATGCTCTTATGGCAAGCAATTTGAAGTTGTGTAAAAAAGAGTAGAGCTTTTGTGACGTCATCAACTTTAATGTGAATACATTAAAAATTTATATTCAAAAGTGCCTTCAAAAGCAAATTTTGACATTCATTCAATTGCACGTTAGACCTTGTTTGTTTTGGGCTGAATTAGCCTTGTGCCACTACTCAAAAAAAACTTTGGTATGGTATAAATTAGAAAAGATTAATTTTATACCAAAATTGGTCATTCCACCAAATTGTCCACAATTTCAACCCATCAAAAATATTGGGATATTGGAAATGGATATTTGCATAAAACAAGCAAGACTATTAATTCATTACAAGAATTGCACAAGACATATCAAACTTAAGCAAATGCTTAAGGCATGGTTAGCCATAAGCAAGAAAAGTAAGAAAATGACAGTAACAGTTGTGCTTTTTTTTCTTTTTATTATTAAAAAGAAAAAAAAAGTTTTGCTTTTTTTTTATTCTTTTAAGAAAATTCTAGAAATAGAAGTCTTTTTAAAAATTGACAATTGTGTTTTCCTCAACCCCCTCCACCTTCCCACTTCGAAACCCCTGTCGTCGGCCCTGAATAAAAATTAAAGAAATTTGTAAAAAGATGTTACTTTAATATTTTTCAAAAGATTTTCCTTTCTCATTTTTTTTCGATCTCATGCTTTAACTCGCAGGTCCAAATCAGATAAAATCATGTTTTTATATTCATATCATAAAGGACTAAATGACACAAAAATCAACAATAAAATCATAGCAATTTCAAGTATTAAAATCAATAATGTTGTATTCTGTATTTATATCCAAATTAATGAATAGTTTACAAATTTTATTACATATTATTTTCATCATTATTAATATTATTTTCATTCTTTTCGACAAAAAAATTCACAAGATTTAAATTTATACAATTTCTTAAGCTTTCTTTTTCTTTTAATCTTTTTTTCAAAATCGTCGTCGAATCTTTAATTCTTCTTTTTTTTTTAAACCTTAAAAAAAATTACACCAAGGGGTTGATGTTATAAAATATTTTATCGGCGTAAATGCAATCGGGGGTAAAATTTACCGCTGTAAATGATTTTTGTCAATATTAAAGTTTTTGCAAAAATTACCGGCGATAAACTTTCTACTGCCGAAACATTTACCGTCAAAAAATGTTTCCGAGGAGGACCCTACGGAAATTTTTGTTGAAGATCCAAAGATATGAATATTTAGTTGTAGAAACCTGTGGTTCAAATTTTTTTGGAATCTTCAACTCAAAAATACTTTGTTTTTGACAACCTTTTATGTCTTGAGAATTTAATTGATTCGGATAATAGATTTCTAAAAATAAATTCAGGGCATATCTACAAATTTTGATACGGAAAAGTTTCATAACATATAAAGTTACGTCATTTTTATACTTTTTATATAAAGGAAGTGTAGCATATTTGGAATACCGCAGGTAATTTGGCATACTCAAATATCTCACTTATTATAAACGCAGCCTGTGTTGTTTTTTTGGAAACGCGAGGTCAAATAGCACATAAAGTCAATGGTTAATAAAAACAGTGATGACATCTTGATATTTTTGCTTACAACCGCACGTTAACAAAACGTCAATTTTGAAAACTTTTTTGGTAAGAATGTTATCCTTTATAAATATTTACTAATGTATTCAATGTCCTCCTTTTATTCGATTAAATTATTAAGAAACTTTTTTAATGTATGATTACCTTTTGATTTTAGTTTACTTATGAATGTCAATTAAAAAAAAGATAAATACAATTTGGAATACTATATTCCAAATTATCTGCATCTCAAGTAAAATCATACTTTTGGAAATTTTCTTTCGATAATAATTTTGATGAGATTCCCAAATTTTGTTTTAGCTAATTTTTTATATTATTAAAATTATATAATTTTTCCATAATATAATTTTTTTATTGAACTAACTCGTTACTTTCCTACTTATTCTCAAAAAACAAACTGATTTTCCAAATATGCTGCGCCTTCTCTATAATTTTTTTTCTGTTTAGGGGTTTAGAAATAAGATTGAATTTTTCTTCTTCTTGCCTCAGCCATACATTTGTATTTTGTGTGAGCTTATTTTGTAAATTTTTATTATCAGTAAAACACGCTAGAAAAAAGCGTGCGTATAAAAAGTATTGAAAAAAGCATATCAAAAAATATTGCCATGATTTATAGGGCTGTTCCTAACCATTTCTAAATAACTAATCTCTAAAAAGTTTTTGTTTCTTTTTTTTCTTATTTTTATTTGACTTAACGAGGGGATAAAAAAAATCAAAAATAATACAAAATTGAAACTTTTTTTACTGTGACAAAGTGCTTGCGCAACCCCTAATAATGTTTGTTTAGAGCTGATGTCATCGTAGATGAAATGTAATCTATTAACAATGTTTATTTAGAGTTGATGTCATCGTAGATAAAATATAATAAAAAAGTTAAAGTATAAAATAAAATCTTAGGAAATATAAAAAATTTAAGAAAATTTAGATTTAATTTTTATAAACTCAGTTAAACCAAGGACAATAGATGAACATTTAACGCGTTGTTCTGTTTATTATGCTTATTCTTCGAGTATATACGTACACTTGTACGTGTACTGCGTGTACTTGGAGCATTAAATGTTTATGAAATCAACTTACACCAAATTTCAATCTTCGCCCATAGAAAAAAGGATTACCTTCTATAATAGTTACACAAAATTTTTTGATAAAAGTTTTAGATAAGGTAAAGTTATAAATTCATCATATTCATCAAATAGGCGAGAGCAGATATTTATAATACATTGTTTCCAGGATGTTTAATTCTGAATCTTCTTGACTGTTAAAAAAATAGCACGTTTTTTAGGAAAAGTTCCGGCAGCTGCTGTTGACCTAACTACCTATTTTTTTACGGAAAAACCCATCGAATGTAAATGGTTGTTTCCGTTAAAATACAATGGGTTTTTTCCGTTAAATATATTTCAGCAAATATTATATATAAAAAATCAACTGTATCTTTTTGAAAATATTTTCTGAAAAACAAATCTTTGATTTACATAAAAAATACTTTTCCGTGATTTATATTTCACTTCAACAGCAAATACACGAATATATAATAAATTAGTAAAGTAATAAAGACTTTCAAAAAAATTTACAATTTTGATAAAGTATATACAAGCACATAATAATATAATTATATTACATATCCCTATATACATTTACAATATAGATATACTTAAAAAATCTTTTAGTAATATATATTGGTTAAATAATAAATATAAATATAAGTAAACCAATCCAAATACACAAAAATACAGTCTTTCCTTTCTTTTCGATTTCGAGTCAACTCTAAATCTAAAATAAAAGCAAAAAAAACAAAAAGTTTTTGAGTAAGGAAAGATTTTAATATTTAACAAAGTAATAAATTATAAAAAACACTCATTATGTGCAATGGTTACCTTAAAGTTGTAACTCAATATGAGTGATTTAACAAAGGCCAAGCAACAAACAACTCTGGATAACGTTAAAAACTCTTTTGAGCAATAAATAAATACCTACAAGAAATAAAGACTAAAATTGAAATTGAAGGTTTAAATGATACAAACAGAGGTTTTAAAGTGCAATCTAACCAATCTCAGTTTGTCATTGTAATGGTGATAACCGAATTTTTTCTTAATACCACTGTTGGCGCCATATGCCATTACTCCCAAATTTAAAATTAGATTTTTTTATTTTATTAAATAAATAAAATCTTTACAACTTCTTTAAAATCAAATTTCAATAATTAATTACTAAATTTACAAAGTAGCTCAACAATTTAACAAAGCAATATTTTTTTTATTCTAAATTTTTTTTTTTTAAATGTTCAATTTGATGACCTTTGTTATCATAGAGAAGTTTACAAAGTTTAGACCTGGACATCAATGCCTAATTTATTCGTTCTTGAAGAATGTTATTTCATATATCTTTTATATTATTAAATAAACCCTGTAACCCATACCATGATGGATTTTAGAAAATTTTTATTTTTATAATAGAGTACTCTCAGTGCTTTTTGATATTTTTTAATGTAAATATGTTTGGATTTTTGATCACAATCAGTAAATAATAAAGGTAGAATAATTTTTCATCAGTTGTAATGATTTTTGTCCAGTTTTTCTTAGCCGTTTTATAAGTTTTTTTTATTCGTAAAGTTTTTTTGATCTTGTAAACCTTCTCTCGATTGCTCAAGGTGATAATCCATGTACACATCCTTTTGAAACTATAATTTTCAGAAATAATTGGTAATTTGTCTTTTTATTAATAAGTTTTTTATCTGAAAAATTTGACATAAATTTAGCTTATTAAATTTTGGTTATTAAAACTTTGATTGATTCCTACTCTAATTATTTCTTAATCATTCTATACAAACATCGAAGTTGTACTAACAATAAAATATGTCCTTTGATATTTTTTTCTGTCAAAATGTTTTGTTTACATAAATTTTCTTTTCCACTAACTACTTTAAATATGTGATTAAATTATAAAAGTATTATGAATAAATATGGTTTAATTAAAAAGTAAGTTTCAAAAGTGTTTCCATTTCAATGTCACATGATTGTTTAACAAATACATCTTAATATCTATATCTATATTTATATCAATATCTATCTATCTATATCTATATTTATATCAATATCTATCTATCTATATATATATATATATATATATATATATATATATATATATATATATATATATATATATATATATATATATATATATATATATATATATATATATATATATATATATATATATATATATATATAATATATAGATAGATAGATGAATATAGACATATACATGACTAATAACATCTAACATCATCAAAACTTATCTAAAATAAAAAAAATTAGTTTACCTTTAAGAGAATCTGCATAATTGTCATTAAAACAATCTCAAAAAGATTTCATGATTAAACTGAAATATAATAAAATCAGCTTATGTAAAGAAGAAATATTGACAAATAAAATAAAAAAAGAAATACCATAAAACTGGCGAAAGCAGAGAATCTAATTTTATCTAAATATAATTTTCAAAAATATATATTTACGTTGCACTTAAATAAGTACAAAAGCATTATGAAATGTGCAGATAATCATTCAATTGTATCCTTTGGGTTGGAGTCGCGTCACGAATATCGAGAAAATGGGTTACCATTATGGATTAGGGAAAACAAAGAATTATATTGAATCAGGAACATATATGAATGAATAATGCCTTGAAGTTGCTGAGTGTTTTTCTTGTTTCAAATAATAAAAATTCACAGAGTTAAGATTTTGCATACTTTCATATGAAGATATTTGAATGAAAGTATGGTTAAAAGTAATAAATTGTGGGCATGTTAACAAAAATGGAGTAGTTTAACTACTCCATTTTTGTCAACATACACAGGATTTATTACCTTTAACCATGCTTTCCTTCTAATATCTTCGTATGGAAGTATGTAAAATCTTAACTCAGTGAGTTATTATTATTTTTATTATTGTTATTATTACTATTATTATTATTATTGTTATTATTAGTATTGTTATTATTAGTATTGTTATTATTGCTATTATTAGTGTAGTTATTACTGTTATTATTATTATTATGCAGACATGTTACTTTGTTTTTGGAGTATTATTTGTTTTGGAGTATTATGGACTATAATTTTGATTTAATAAAAATTAGTCATCAAATCAAAATTATAGTCCCCCAAAACAAAGTACCATGCAAAACAAAGTATCTGGCAAAAATAGTTAGCTAAACAAGTTAAATTTATACAACATAGTTTAATGATTGTAAATTTTATATTTTTTTTCACTACACTTTAGACATTTATACCTTAATACACTCCACAATTATTACAGTTTAATGATTGATTTAATGAAGTGAATATTTTTTTCACTAGTTTTTTTCGATAGTTTTTTAGTCACTAAAATAAAAAATTAAAGAAAATAACGGATAAAATCTGCATACAAGTTGTATGAAAAAATATATGAACTATTATAAATTGCTATTAATAATAACAACAATATAACAGTTAATTAGCAGTATATCATAATAATATATTATTATGATATACTGTGTTTAATAATCTTTTATTTGCTTTACTAAATTTAAATTGTTTTTACTAAATTATAATTTAGTAAAAACAACTTTAATTTAGTAACGCAAATAAAAGATTAAAAAGTTTGCTTTACTAATTAAAATTATATTAAAATTATTTAATTACTAAGATTTTATGTTAAATTTTATAAAATTAGCAATTCTTTGATAGTTTTAATTTATTTAATTTATAGTAAATATGCTTTTGAAATATTGCTTTTTGTTTTTTATTTCAACTTTTACACACTTTTTATATATTTTTTTACTTCCCTGAAATAAATTATTATTTGATGCAAAAAATTGCATCAAATAATAATATTTTTATCTAATAATTTTCATCTTTAACCAAAACGTTTGAATTATAAACTAATTTCAATGCAAAAGATGAGTCGGATGGGGAACCAACAGATTTTTTATGAAATAAAATCTTGAAAAATGCTAACAGCGTTATAATTTGTTAGTAATAATGGATTATTCAAGTGAAGATGAAAAAATTAATTTAACAAGTTAGCCTTAAATGATCAAATATTGTTGACTTTGATAAAATTTAAGCATAACTTTACTTTTAAAATGCTTGCTTTTATATGTAACATCAGTAAGACTACAGCAATTAGCTATTTGGAAGTGGGTTGATATGTATTTAAAATTAAAGTTTCTGATAAAAATGCAAGTCAAAACTGATATTTAAAAAACATTAACACCTGTTTTCAAGACAAAGTTTCCTACACTAACATGCATAATTGCTTTAAAATCTTTATAGAATCTTATTAGCAAGAGCAAAATGTTACACTCAGTGCAAAATACATATTACAGCATATAACAAAAAGTAATACTACTCAAAAAATCACATGTTGGAAATTTATTGGCTGACAACTTTTATCAATTACTGGTTTTGGTCCACGAAGTAACTGTTGAGAAAAACTCATGAACAGTGAAACTATAAAGGTCCATTGCAAATTCATTACCTTTATCTTGCTGGAAATTTCTTAAGATTTTGAAGTAAATCTTTATGATTTTATTTTTGAAATAGTTACAGATAGGCAAGAGTAAAGAAAAAACAAGAAGATTCTATCAAATTGCTAATAGAATTCATTTTTAATTTTATCATTGTAGGCTTTGTGTTTCAATTGTAGATGCCTATTTCGAACCATAAAAAGACATGAACAAATAAGTTGTTATAATTGGATACTTAGGAAACATTAAGTCTTTTAATAAACATTTTACAATAAAAGTTTTATGTTTGATTTTATTTGCTACATTTTTATATCTCTTATATCTCTTTTTTTTCGGTCTTCGGCGTATTCGAAGCAAGATGGCCTGATTTCAATTTATCAACTAAAGACACATTTCCAACTTATATCCGCTTAAATCTAACTAATCACGTAATCCAATAATCTAAATATAAAAGCGGCTATTTCTCCTAACTAATTCTTTTTCGAAAAACCAAATATGTCTGAACTATCAATGGCAAATATCAAATCCCTCCTAGATAATCAAAAAAATGAAATTCTACTTGCTATCAATACAAGTCTGATAAAAATAACTAATGATATTTCTGAACTGAAAGCTACATATGCTGATATTAAAACTACAGTAGCTAAGAACACTAAAGATATTACTGAACTACGTAATCAACTTATCGACTTATCCAAAAATAATAAATTACTTTTGGAAGAAAATGAAAAATTAAAAAATGACTTAGATGACCAGGTTAACAGAAAACACTTATATTTAAAAAACCTAAGGAAAACACTTATATTTAAAAATATCCCTTATGAAAATAATATCAAAGAGTCCTGGAATGACACAAAAAATATTGTGGCTAATACTATTGCCAATGCAGCGAATGTAGATCCAAGATCTATTCACGAAATGATTGAACGCTGCCATCGTGGAAAAGTTACTAACCGCCTTAAACCAAGTCATGTTTTTGTTAAATTTCACAAATGGTCCGATAGCGAACATACTAAAAGAGTGTTTGCTAGACCCATCAACAATATACGAGTTGAGCAGATGTATTCGAAATCACTAACTGAGCGCTGCAATGAAGCAATGAAGGAACGACGAAAGTTAATTGAAGAAAAATCTATCGTAAGCGCATTCCTTGAATATCCCGCTGTATTAAAGGTCAAATATAAGAAATCCGACTCAAAATATTCAGCAATAAAATCGTTCTAAATCTACGAATATCCAAAGGTTTATCTTCTTATTTATTTTGTTATTTAATGTTATTTATTCATGTTTACGCCGTATATATTTATTTATTAGTGCACAGTTCTTTTTATTTGTTTATACTCAATACGCAGTTTTGCGTACTTACAGTTATAAAAATTATCTAACAAAAAAAAAAAAAAAAAAAAAAAAAAAATGTGCGGCTTAAGCTTAAAAAAAAGTTAACGACTTTTCAATCTAAACAAAAATGTGCGATTAGTTGATAAGTATACTCAAGGTCAGATTGTTTTCAATAAATTGTAAGAAAGCTCACTTACCGTTTTGTTTTTGTTTTTGTTTATTATTTATTATTATTTTAATATTTACTTTTTTATTACTAATATTATTCATCACTTTTCTTAATCTTTAATAGGCTGCTGCTACTTACGTTCATATAAATATTGTTACTTATATATCTTATCGCCATAACCATTCACCGTAATGAAAACTACAAATAGCATGTGTGCTGTTTGCAATGTAAATGTCAATAAAAATCAGAAAGCTGTCTTTTGTGATAGCTGCCTTAATTGGGTCCACCTAAAATGTAACAATCTCAATGATATTGATTACCAATTACTAAAAAATTCCTCAAAAAATTGTTCTTGGTTTTGTATAAATTGTTTAGCCAGTATTTTTCCCTTCAATAAAGAAACTATAATTGACAACAAAAATCTTACTAATGTTGACACCAAAGTAAATGAGATTTATCAAGTATCAGATTTCCCCATATACTCAATCTTTAACACATTTAATACACATGTTGATAACAATAACAAATCCCAAAATCTCCCAATAAACAGTTATTATACTAATGTTGATGATTTAAAATGTATTGCAGCTGACAAATCCTCATTCAATGTATTTCATATCAATATCTCATCACTCTCGAAACATTTTGACGACCTTAAAAATCTACTCCAATCAACAAAACTTGAATTTGACATAATTGGTATATCAGAAACCAGGCTGAATAAAAACAGGCCTCAAACTAGCAACATAACACTTAATGGGTATTCTCATGAACACACACCATCTGAATCACAACCAGGTGGTGCATTATTATATATAAATAACAGACTCGCCTATAAACCCAGAAATGATCTCCTCATCTATAAACCAAAAGAGCTAGAATCTATCTTTATTGAAATCGTAAATCCAAAAAAATCTAATATTATCGTTGGCTGTATCTACAGGCATCCAAAAATGTCTTTGGACAACTTCTTATCCTTCTATCTTAATCCTTTACTCAAAAACTTAACAAAAGAAAATAAAACTATATTTATTTTGGGAGATTTTAACATTGATTTGTTAAAATGTGACACAGATTTATATGCTAAAGACTTTTTAGACTCACTCACCTCAAATTACATTCTTCCTCACATTATCCACCCTACTCGTATCTGTAAAACATCAAAAACATTAATTGACAATATCTTCTCAAATATTAAATCAAACAAATATAAAGCTGGGAATCTTACCACCACAATCTCAGATCATCTTCCCCAATTTCTAATAGCTTATAATATTCTTAAACCACCACCTAGCAAAAAGCTTCTAGCCCAGGAAAGAAACTGAAAAGTTTCAATGAAGTATCATTTAAACACGATTTTCTCAAAACTATTATAGATAAAGAACCAAAAATATACCCTGATAACTGTACTCAGTCTCTCGAGAATACTATCTCCAATATTAATTTGTTGCTTGATATTCACGCGCCTTTTAGAAAGCTTAACAAAAAAAATTTTAAATTCAAGACTAAACCATGGATATCTGATGAACTCAAGCACTCTATACAGCACAAAAACAAGCTCTTCAAAAAATATATTAGGTCTAAAAATCAAACAAATAAAACCATATTCCACAATGAGTATAAAGTATTTCGTAATAAACTCCAATCTAAACTCAAAGAAAGCAAAAAAAATTACTTTGATAATTATTTTACGGAAAACATAAAAAATATAAAGGCAACCTGGAAAGGTATCAAAAACATCATTAATATTAAAAGCAACTCTCACACAA